GACCAGCACCCCCAGGCCCTTTCCCGCCGGGCAGCTCCCAGCCGCTCTCCCCACGCCTCAGCGGTGCCTGGGGTTGTTGTGCCCCCAGTGCAGGACCCGGCCCTGAGCCTTGCTGACCCTCACCCAGTGCCTGGGCCCCTCGCCCCAGCCTGGCCAGGGCCCTCTGCAGAGCCTCCCCGCCCCCCAGCAGATCAACGCTCCCCCCAGCTTGGTGTTGTCTGCAAACTGACTGAGGGTGCCCTCGATCCCCTCCTCCAGATCCCTGATGAAGATTGATTTATTTTGGAGGCTCCCAGCGCCGCAGACCGCGGTCCCCAGCACTGTTTGCCCGCTCCCTCTGCTCTCCCTGCCAATTCTCTCCCCTCTTTTTCAGGTATTACCTCTTTGCGCTCGTCGTGAACCTGAGCCGGGACGCCTACGAGATCCGGATCCTGATGGAGCGCGAGGCGGGCGGGAAGCGAGCGAAAGGCAGTGAGAACGGGCGCCAGCTCCGGGCTGACAATGGGCTCCAGCAGCTGGGGCTGAGGCTGCAGATCCAGCTCCGGCTTCTGATCCACGTCCTTCGGAACAACCCTCCTCTGCTGCTGGACGTGGTGAAAAACACCTGCGACCTTTTCATCCCCCTGGACAAGCTGGGGCTGTACAAAACCAACCCGGGCTTTGTGGGGCTGTGCGGCCTCACCTCCTCCATCCTCTCCATCCTCACCATCCTTCATCCCTGGCTCAAACTGAAGCCTTAGTTGTTCTCGGAGCCTGCCGCCGGCCTCCGAGCCAGCGCAGGCGGATACCTGGGGACGCCGGGGGGTTACTCCTGGGGCTGGGACGCGGCTAAAGCCGACTGGCTCGGTCCCATTGCGTGTGGCTGTGCGTTCACGTCACGCCTGGCTGCTTTAATAAACGGGCCGTGGAGGCGGGAATAAACGGGCCGTGGAGGCGGGAGGAAGGCGGAGGGAGTTTGCGGCGGCAGAGCCCACAGAGACCTGCTCCAGCTGCCTCCGCTCCCAGCGAGGAGGGCGATGCTCCACGGACCTAAATTTGGTTCTTCTCCCCATCGCCTGTAGGGCCTGGCCGGCCCTTTTAGGGGTTTAACGTTTCCCCCCCTCTTCAGGGGCGTCTCTTATCCCGGAGTCGGCCAAGAGGGAAATACCTGGGGCCGGAGAAGGCGCCTGGCTCGCCGGGTGCTTCCCCAGCCCGGGGGGTTAAACTGCGGGGCGGGGGTGAGGCTCTGGCGCTGGCCGGGCACTCCAGCCCCTGTTTTGACACTTTAAAGATAAGAAAGATTTCTTGGAGATTTCTTCTTTCTTGTAAGAAATCCGAGGGCGGGCAAAGAGAGGGCGAGTCGGAAGGAGCTGGGCCGCGGGCGTTCGGAGGCGAGCTCGGGGGGAGCCCCTGGGGTCTCGGCGGCCGGAGGTGGCTTTCAGGTGGGATCGGGGCAGGGTGTTTCCCTGCAGGGGAATATTGGCTTGCCTGCACCCTTCCCACGTCCCTGGTGGGGGAAAAGCAGCGCAGGCACACCCCGCTGAGCCTCTGCTGCGCTTTGCTTCTCGTGTCCCCTGGGGGTTTTTTGCCATAAGGGGATTTTTGCCTTTTCCCCCCCGCCCCCCACGAGGGGATAAATCGGGGAGGGGGCAGCTCGACGCCCTCCGTTGTTCCCACCCGCTTTTCCCTCTGGGCTGGCACTGCCGCCTCACTGAATTTGCCCATTTTCTTTGGTTTCTGTGACACCAGGTAGCACTGCTTACGCCAGGCTCTAAAGAGCGTTTTACTTAGCCACAGACTGAAGGCCAGGCTCCGAGCTGATGATTATTTGTATCCAGAGGTGGGGTGTTCCTCGGCCCGTCCCCGGGAGCAGGATACGGAGGGAGGGAGCGACCCCGCGGGCTTTTAAAACCCGCTGGTGTTTTGTGCTGAGCTCCAGCAGCTCCGTGCGCAAACAGCGGGGGCTTCACCCGCTTCCAGGTACGTCTGCGCGGCGGCAAAGGCCGGTGAGCCCGGACCCAGCTCCAGGACCTCTCCGGCACTTCCCATTCGGCATCTCCCGGCTTTCTGTGGGCACTGGGGCGATGCGGGCAGGGGAGAGGCTGAGTCGCTGGGAAAGGGTGGGTGAGTACAGCCCGAAACTGAGCCGGACTGCCCGGAGCTTTAGCGAGAGGGAGTTTAATTCGGCTGGGTAGGGAGGGAGGTGGCAGTGGGGTGTAAGAACGTGGGGTCTTTCTGCCTGCAAACCGATTTGGGCAGGGAGGGCGCAGGGCGAGGTGCTCGGACCCCGGCCTTTGCGCGGTGGAAGCTGCCCCCCGGCTCCCCCGGGCTGACGGCAAAGGGCTCGAGCAAAATCTCAGCTTGGCCTCGGGGACTTCGAACCCTTGGTGGAGAAGGTAAATCAGTTACGGGAGGGGAAGGCGGCCGACCCCGGCACGTCCGCAGCCTCCACGTGCCGTTAACGCCGCGGTTTTAATGTGTTAGAGCAATATTTTAATCTGGCGGCGGTCGGGAAGGTGCGGCGGAGGGCTGCGCGGCGTCTCCCGCTCCTCGCCCGCGTGTAAATACGGTGGTGTAAATAGGCGCCCGCGCGAATCCCGGCCCCGTGGCGGTTTGCAGAGTTAATTATTAAAGGCCGGTTGCTGAGATGTCGCCGCTCTCCTCTCTCTTCGTGATCCCGGAGGGATGAACGCGCAGCCCGCTGCGGCTGGCCCGCCGGGCGATGGGGCTGCGACTCGCTCCCGAGGCGATGGGGACGCCCCGCCGCCTCGTCCCTCCACCCCCGTATTTCAGATCTTGGCCGTTACCGCGGCCGGGCGATGCCCCGGCAGCCCTTGGCATCCCCTTCCCCTCCGAGGGCTCGTTAGGGCTGCGCCGGCCTCCTGCCCCCAGCCCCTCTCCGTGCGGATCGGGGGCGTCGGGGCTTTACCGCGCACCCGGCAGGACCTCGGCTCTCGCTCCGGCATCTGCGGCAAATCCCCCCGCCGCGCTTCTGAGCCGACAAAGGGTGGGTGGGAGAAGCCGGGAAGGCAAACGAGCCCGCTTCGTCCCTTCCTTGAGCTCTTCCTCCCCTTCCCCAGGTGTTTTTATTGCTGCGTTGGCCCCGGCTGAGACCCAACAAACTCATCGCGCCCTGGGTGTCGCGCTGGGGGGCCTCACCGAGGCTCAGCCCCCCCCCGAGCTCCTGCTTCCCCCGGTGC